CTTTTATTTAAGCCTTCACCATCCTCTTATTTGGGAGGTTGTGGGCCTGATCAGTCCGCAATAAGACTTTTGTTAGAAATTGAAGAATTTTGTATGTATCCCAGAGTCCCAGTATGTATTCCAGAGTCGCAGAAATCCCCTAATCCAGCTCTGCCAATTATTTGTAACATGTGAAGAACACTGAAGGGGAAGTGTGTGTGATGTATTACTTTCTTAAAATCAAAAGCATTGCTCATAGACTCCCAAAGCAGAGCTCTGCTACAGGTTGGGTTGGAGCAAGAGGAAGACCTAGGCAGTAGAGTCCACACTCCCAGCTTGCCATTCTGTTTGTAGTGATACTGCCAACTGCCTGTGAAATATTAGTTCTCTCCTCCTCATTATCAATAATCTCCATGTTATTGGGTATGCCAATGTTACCTTCTAAGAATAAACTGCATTTACCATCTTTCTTTCAGATAGGAGTGCTCCCTGAGAGACAAGGAGAGGAATTGGGTGGGATTTATTAGACAGCACTTCTGCCTTTTTTCCTGCACCTGAACTTGCTCATTATGGTTGAATTCCAACCATAAAGGAGAAGCCAAGGAAATTTCAAAGTTCTCATTCTGAAATCCTTGAACAGATGAAACCACACTAATAACAACTCTTCTTCAGGTTTTTCACTATGTGATGAAGGGAAACTTCATGTCTTGGGCCACAGTATTCAGTATTACTGAAGTTGAACACAGTTACTACCTGATTGAATATAAAACCTGTACCTTGGACCTAGGATTCTCAAGAGTGGAGAGCAGGAGAGGGAGGAGAATAAGAGGGGGAGAGAGATCTTACTTACCTAGCATTTGGAGGAGGACAGAAAGATGAGATAACTGGTCTGTGCATGTGAGATAACCCATCTGTGCATGTGAAACCAAGAAGTGAATTCAAGACAAGGTTGGCTTGCTTCCTGTCCAAGTTTGATTGTCACAGTGAGGCAAAAAACAGGAAGTGCAAGAGAGGAAGCACAAGAAAGAATGTCTTTACTTCCTGTGTTTTAATTCATAGTGGTTTTGTTCACATGTTGAAAGAGATGTGGGCAGAGAGTTACTAGTATAAGGAAGCACTGTGAAGGATTCTCTTAGCCATTTCTTATTTCTTTTTCTATTTTCATTTTGTTCTTATTAGTAATTAATCCTTCTAGTAACTATCCCTATGTTTTATACTTAAAGAATCTGCATGGTCAAGTTGTCACAAAGCAAAATACCTCATAAGTTGCTGGTCAGTTTAAGGATTGGCTGTGTTTGGGTTAGGTGCTCATCCTTATGCTAGTGAATTTTGATGCCAATGCGGAAGCTTGTGGTTAGGAACATAAATAAGATAATTTTTCTTAGCAGGGCGTATGGGTAGAGATTCCTTCAGAGGGAATTCTGCACCACTTTAGAAGTTTCACTTTGTCCACAAACATGGGCCAAAGGAGATGCTGTTTTAAGTAAAGGTAATAGAGCTGTAAGACCTTGGATGATAAGCAAGGTCTGTTTCTCTCTAGCAAAGTGTAACATAAAAAGGTAAGTGACCACTGTGTGGCACTGGCTCTTTGAGGGTTCTCCCACAGGAGTGGTTGCTGAGTTCTGATGGAGACAGTGTGGACATGGTGATTCTAAGCGAGCAGAAGAGGAAGGGGAGGTATGTGAGGGAAGGAGAGCTGACCCAGAGAAAAGGGCAAAAACAGTACAATCCATGTATAAGATATTGCCAGTGAATTCTAGGCTTTATCTTTTAACACCTTTCTCCAGGGGTGTGAGACTGCAAGCAAGCATACATATAGGAGCTGATTACATGGAAAAATTTCTGTAGAATTTGGTGTTTTATGTTGAAAAATAACATAAACTTCTATATATTATAGGTGCCAGCACATTTTTCATAATTCAGAATAATGATTGAAATTACTTAGTCTTCTTCAAGGATCTTGAGCTGAAATTGAATTTCTCAGAAAATTCATTCTGTACTTCTCAGTGTATCACCACATATGTCCTTGGATACATGTCTCCTGATGTAAAAATTGTAATCCTGTGAGAATGTCGAATGATTCAGAGGGAGATGAGAAGGTCTCATGATTGTCAGTGATAATTGGCTGTTTATAGGAAAACTAGATGTGTAGAAATTTTCAGTGGAGATATTTAGTTATGTTGCTCAAGGGCAGACAGTGAGAGACTATCACAGCCAGCCTAGCAGGGATTGGTTTTATGGTGCAGAAACTGGCAAGAAGTAAGGGGTGGTAGTGATGGTGGTTGTTATGGTGAAAATAGTAAAAGTAGTATTCTGGGGAACAAACAAAAGGATCATATGAAATTAAGTTATATTTTAGCCTTCACAGAAATTGGAAAAATTCTTGCAAGTAGTCCCTCTGTTTATCCTTCTTTGGGTTTTGCAGTAGTCTGTTTTGAATTTATATAATGAAATAATGGAGGCAGGCTAACTATAAAGAAAATAGTTCTATTTTAAAGACTGAAAGTGCAATCAGCACGGTCCTGGCTCTGATGGGGTCTCACCTGGCTGTGTCACATCATGGCAGACAGTGTCATGGTGGGACATGGAGATGAGGAGAAATCACATGGGGTCACAGAAAGCCAAAGACTGAGGAGGGACAAGTCTTGCTTTTTTGTAACAGTCCTCTTACAAGAACAACCCAGGTTCCCACAGGAGCTGCATTAATTCCTTTCAAAGGCAAGACCTCCAGTGATCCATTCACCATACTAGGCTCTATCTCTTAAAGATCCCATGTCTTCCTAATACCACACGCAGGGGACCAAGTCTCCAACAGTGGGACCCTTTAGGGGAGGATTCTGTAGCACGTTTGAGTGGCTTGTTACTTTTGATTCTCTCCATGTATCTATTCTATTCTTTTTTGGGCAAACAAGTACTGATTAATTTCTGCCTCTTAAAGCACTGACAGATCTCGTGCCCAGTGCATTATAATTCAGGTTCTGTGTCTCAAATTCAAATTTCTGGGAGGAAGAGTCCAATTGGAGAGGCTGAATTCTCTGTCCAGAGCTGGTTGGGGGAGCTGTGGTTGGAGAGTGGGGTTATGCTGAGCTGCCTGTGCAGGAGTGCCCTTACAGTGCCACCTGGGGTTGGGAGTGCAGCTGCTGCTGCTGATGGGAGTCTCTGTGTAAGCTTCGCACCCCAGGGGAGTACCATCTCTCAGTGAGGAGGGTAGAATTCTGTAACAGGATTTGAGGGTTTTTCTTTGAAGATTTGGTGGCCAGTGAATTTTGAATTTGTTGAATGAATGAACAAATATTTAGTCTAAAAAGCTAGATTTACTGACTTAAAATTCTGTAAATACTGGCTTACTAGGTAGAAATTAAATTCATATGAACCCAACTTTGCCACTACTACAGTGACCTTTAGAAGGTCATTTTTCTTAGTTTCTATTTCCTCATATATAGGAGGGAATTAAAAACACCTGCTCTATTTCATAGGATTGTTGTTATAAAAGAGATGATACAGATCAAAGTGCTCTGGAAAGATTAATGTCATACAGATGTATAAAGTTTTATTGCAAGTGCATGAATATTAGATAATGTACCAAACAACTCCTCCTTGGACTCACATCTGTGTGCACGTGCTCCTATCCATGTGGTTAGAGGTTGGACAGGATGAAAGAGGGTGTAAAGCTGCTGAACAGTAGATATTTCACAAAAGGAGGAAATGCTGTAATACCCTCTGTATGTTGTTTCTACTCTCACCTTCCTCAGAACATTTCTGAGAAGAGAAATTGCTCCTGCTCCCATGGATTCATTTTCTCCTTTTTGAGGTGCCCTTGGATGTAAAGGGCTTATATATGGGACAAAAGAAGGAAAGTCACTTGGCTGAAATAAAAAGAAGAGGTACACTTTAAGTTTGGGGGCTATGGATATTGTGAGAGATCATTTTGATAGGTAGAGTGTGTAGATGCCTTGTATTCATGTGTGTTTGGTTTTCTGTGATGTTGAGTGTGTGTGTGGTGGCGGGGAGAGTAGAGGAGAACAAAGTATAGATTTGGTTTTCCTGCACTAGCCATAGAAGCAGCTCATAGGTGGGGTGGTTACTAGGTGTTCACCACTCGTCTTTCCCAGTTATTCCTGATGGAAGAGGTCACTTCCTTCCAGCCTAACCCACTAAGGCTGTACTTAGGGCTTGATAAATTTGAGGAACATTTATTAACAACTATTTAAACTAATGATTATTATTGTTGATAACATTTTACTTTCAGAAATGATAAGTTAGGGTGGAGCTTGGAACCTGATAGTATATATTAATATTTATTATATCAGCTTAGGGTCAAAATAAAATTATGAGTACATATTATAATCCTTAATTTACAGATAAGATAACTTGAGCTTTGGAAAGTTTTATTGACAAAGGTGTGCAGTCAATAAAGGTAGAGAATCTAATACACAAGCGCAGGCTTGTTTCAAGACCCTTGCTTTTAATGATACCATATTGATGGCTGGTCACCCTTATTCATTTAACATGGAAATACCCTTCTAAATGTCTTGTTTTTTTTTTATCGAAATATTATATCCAACAGTTTTAGTTTAGGATACTTTCAGGGACACCTAACCTACTCACAGTCTATTTCTGGCAAATTCAGAGAGATGAGGATATTACTTTCTAAAAGGACTTTATTCTAGGAAGGAAGAATCCATGAACTCATGTTCAGTGCAAAGAGGATAAAGAATACACAGTGGGATTCATCTGCCTCTGAGCTCAGTGGTCAGAATAGGCTCTTCTGGTGGGTCTGGCTTTGATGGAACATTTGAGGAAACTCAATTAACAGGGACCTGATGGATGGCTAAGACTCCTCTGAGCACTTAGGAAAATGCACAACCATAAAACAAAACAGTGCATTCTTGAGTGTACTAATGCATTAGAATTCCAGGAAAGGTGAATATCAATAACAGTAATAACATCTGTGGAGCGCTTACTATGGACTATGGACTATGCTAAAGATTTACATCCATTTTCTCTTTTCTTCCTCATAGCTGCACATCTTCACTCCAATGGACGTGCATCTCATGCAGCTTCCAGGGTCCCCTGTGTTTATGCTGTTGGTCTTGTCAGAACTATGGGAGGAAGTAATATTCTTCTGGACTAAACACTGAAAATGGTAGATGATCCAACATTTTGAGTCCTAGGCAGAAAGCTCAGAAACCTAGCTTATGCTTGTGACAGTTCTGGGCAGTTTCTGACCTACAGTGGTTCCCTGTTGTTTAAAGGAATCTTCTTACCAAGATGCTAGAACTTTCACACCATGACTCCAGTGTAATTTTCCAACAGTGTCCCTGATCATCCCACAAATGTCTCACAGTCTGTATCTTTTTGCTGAAGTCTCCAAAAACAGTCCTGACACTACTCCTTTGGTCCAAAATGTCTTTCCTTTTTTGCTTCCTTTCCTACTCCTGCTTTTGTTTTGTCCCTTGTTGCTTCCTTGATGTATGTTCTCCTTCCCATGGCATTGAGTGATGCTCTCATCTCTTTTTGTATCACATCTGATTACTTCTCACATACACTGTCTCCACTACGGGGTCACAGAGCAACTAATCATATTTCTTGCAGGTGTAGGCTTGACCAGAATGTCTGGCTTTGCATTTTACCATTTATATAGCCTTAAGCAAGTAGTTGTTTGTGCCTGGAGTTTCTCATCTTGAGAGATAATTACACTACTTACCTCTCAGTGTAGTCAAGAGGAGGAAATAAAAGAATGACATGTGAATTGTGGATCAGTCAGCACAATAAATAGGTCAGACCAAGCACTCCATCAATGGAGTGCTTATATTCTGATGGTAACTTGTTGGTAGTGCACATATAAAAACTAAGCGTTGAATTGAGTTATATCAGTAAGGGGTTATTCTTGTATTTTCTGTGACTGCAAGCAGGTGGCAGCTCAGGGGCTAGTGCTTGATCCACATGTGGGGTGCTGAAGGCCTCTTGAGGGTGGTGGATGTGGGAATGGGCAGACAGAGGCATTGTTATCACCTTACTTGTTCTCATACTTGCATGGTCTTCATAGTTCCTAAGTATGCAGTCTCCATGACTTTCCTGAGGTTGGGGAAATCCCTGTCACTAAGCAGCAAGCTGCTGTAGGTACCATAGTGCTTGTAATTTGATTTGACCTAAATCAACTTTTTGAGTTTAAGGGCTTGAAGCTAAACCTCTAAACTACTGACATCTAGAAATAGCACAGATGTCAATATGCGTGTTGAGTCTTGTGCAGAGTAGGTGCTTGAATTTTTTTTTAACATATTAATAACTATCTACTGTGTTTAGAATCCTGGGTATAGTGAGACGTTGGCATAATTGTAGGAACTTCTGATTGAAGTTCAAGGTCTGTGGTAATTCATCATGACCCTATTGTAACATATTTACTGGGTATTTATGTAACATCAAGGCATTGTTTTACTTATTTAATTTAATTAATTTATTTTACTTTATTGGATGGAAACCATTTTTCTCTTCATTTAAATTAAGGAAAACAGAGGCTTACTTGCTTAAGCTCCTCCCATTGGTAAGTAGAGATGGGCTTTGAATACAGATTTGGATCTTTTGGTGAGCACCCACACAAGCCTTTCAACATTTCTGGGTCTCAATTTATTTATTTTCAAAATTAGACAACTATCCTTGGTGATCTTTAAAGTTCATTAGAGGTCACACCGAATGTTCCAGCCCACAGAGGCTCCGGAGCTGGTTGGAGCAATCACGACTCTCAATAAGGTGACACAGGCAGAGCTCTTGGTACTGCAAGCCAGTTTCCTTTCCTTCCTCTTTTACATCTAAGTTATTTGATTTCATGATGGTAAATGCATCCAGTTTTCCCAAAGCCTGGATGTCAGACTTTGCTGATTCCTGACAACATTTTCTCTAGTGGCCAGTGACATGAGAAACCAAAGGACAAAGAAGTGAGCTTTTGGAAAAGATAAATTGATTCTATTTTGTTTGTCCAAGTCTGTGTCCACTATGACATGGCCATGATAAGACATGGTGACTTTTGTTTAGTTTTTCCAGATGATAATCACTTCATAAATTCATGTCCTTTGGCTCAATATCTGCTGAATTTTCACTGGTCCATAAAAGTAAAAGCTCTAAAATAGCAATAGTCAAGCAGGGCTTTCTTTCTTTCTTTTTTTCTTTCTTTCTTTATTTAACAAACACACACACACACACACATACATTTACAAAATAACGCAAGAACAATACAAGCAATACTGAAATTCTGACAAGGTGATAGGAAATTAACAATGGTTGTGGTATTACATATTGATAGCTTCAAAGTGGTTACTCAGGAAAACAGAGACATGTAAGATTGATCAAATAATTAATCCTTAACTGTTTCTTTCAATAAAGCAATAGAAGTCAGTAGTACAACTATGTTAGCTATCCTGTATATACATATATACATAATTTTTCTCTTCTTTTCTCTTTTCCCTCATCCCAGTTGCTCTTTACTTTTGAGCAGTTTCCTTTCATTTCACAATGTCTATCATACAAGTAGGGCTTTAAACAGTGTGTGCAGTAAGAGAGCAGTTTTTTGTTTTTATATCTCAATATGTTTCAGACTGTGACTTTTGTAAAATTAAAATTAAATTACTAAAGAAACAAAATTAAAAACAAGGATATATGAGTGCAAGCACTGTCTAAAAATCATTAGGGTTGATGAATGTCAAATTTCCCTGACATGTAACAAAAACTTTGCAACATTTATGTTCAATTGCTGTTATTTCTTTTGAGGATTGGCAACCACAGTGCATGGATCATATTGGGGGAGGACTTTGCTCTGTGTTGAGGAAGGGCCATTTAGTGATAACAGGGTTCTTAGTAATGAATTCCTGGATAGAATTCATGCAGCCTGGTGAAGTGGAGGGGGCAGTGTTTGTGTATATTTCTTGGATAATTTCTAATTGAAATTTCATATTTCTTTTTAGTGTAAAGTTAGGCTGCAAACCACAATAGTGTTAGCTGTACCAATGACTTTTATTCTGAGAGGGTACATTACTTTCATATTCTGCATTTAAGACACTATTGGAAGATTATTAATTTTTAAATCTATTTAGAAATTGCATAGCTACTATACCTGTTATATTATTGACATATAAAGAGGCACATATTGCAATGAAAAAGTCTAGTAACTATTTTAATATGACCAATTCCCCTTGATCCTTACTTATCGCAGGCATTTAAAAATGTAATTCTAAGTGTATCCCATAGCAGACACTGGACTGCCCAATGGTCTCCACAGCTTAGTCAAGCTTAAGGGCACATTTTATAGTTTTAAGAGAATTTGAAAACAGTTTCCTTCAATCACAGATTAGCAGATTGCAACTCAATATTTATGAGTTCCTGGGAGACTAGGGCTCTCTAGGAAAGACCAGAGTTCTGGGATAGCATCTAATTTACTTTTTGATCTTTATTGTCTACAAATTGAGTGAATCCTGTGTTCTTTTACTAGACACCTTAAGTGTTCTCATCATCCAGTAAACATTCCAGTGGCCTGAGGGGATTGGGTGGGTTGGAGCAGTTCCTTCTTGCCCTAAGTCTTAAGGATGTCCTCCTCAGAGGAAGATTGTGATTACTAATTAACTAACAATTTTGATCCTGAAAGGGAAAACTGGGCAGTGATTTGCATTTGAAATCATTAACATTTTCTTGATAGGCTGCTAAACAGTTTAACAGGGAAGGGTTGCTTTCTGTGGACTGCGTTTCTCTGCTCTGTTGTGAATCGGACATTCAGGGGGAGCAGGAGCAGCTTGTAGAGATAATGAGGTATGTTTGTGAATTGCATACTCACTGATGGCTGCAGATGTGTGTGTGTGCTGGTCTTTTTTGGTCACAATGCCCTTGTTAATTTGTTACAGACAAAAGTAAATAACAATATGCCAAAAAATTAGGACAATGCACATAGAAAAAAATTCAACTTATCTTTTTCGTGTGTGTGTGTGTGTGTGTGTGTGTGTGTGTGTGATCATGTGTGTATTCTCCTGGTTCCAGATAGATCTATAAGCCTGATTGTGGCTAAATCTTTGTGTCTATGGTGACCTGTGAGGTTTTATTTAATAAGCAGGGTTAGGTTGCAGGGAAGAATTCTAGAAATGATGTGGGGGATGTGAGGGGAAGGAGTTAGAATTTGGTAAGAAGACTTAAATATTTTGGGACATTCCTTCTAAAAACTTGTAGAACTGTGAGAAAGGTAATTACAGAATCGATCATAGTCAGGAAATTGGGAATCCATTACTATCCTTAGGGGTTTGGTACTTTTGTGATGAAACATAGAATTATTTCAGGGAGGAATCTGAGGGTGTGTGTGTGTGTGTGTGTGTATGTGTGTGTGTTTGTGTGTGTATGTGTAACATTGAGATGCATGTATGAGTTGGTGTGTGGTGAGGGTCAGGACAGATCTCATATGGAATTCAGAAGGGGTTCATGAATGAAAGGTGTGGTGCCTGGGCTTGCAGTTATGTGGGAAATAGAATCAATGTTTCTGGATGAAGCAGGGAAGACAATGGGTCATTACTGGTGCCTTCCTGGTTAAATTTAAGAAAGAATTGAATTCTTTCTGGATAACAGAATCTAGCAGGACACTTGTGGGCATCTCTTTTCTGATTGGACTGATGTGGGAAGGGTGAGTTCCTGCTGGGTAAAGGAGAGAGGTCAAGATCAATTGGAAGGGTCTCATTGGAAGAGGCTCCAAGTAGATTCTACAGGGCTTGAACTGTCAGTTTGATGCTGTCGGAGGATCACGCATTTCCACGGTCTCTACTGGTCTGTGTCAGGTGTGTGACAGTGAGAATGTTGAGGTGGACAGTGGGAGGGTGAGAGGGAGAATCTGTAGTTTGTTGTGTTGGGTAGGTTCTTGTGCTACAAGGGACCAAAGGAAGAGGGATGATGGTCTATCCTGTATCCTAAATCTGAGCTTATTCACACTTTCACATAATGCCAGTGATTTTTATCAGGATTTGCTCACAGATAAATTTCAACGAGCTGATAAAATGACTTTGCAAGCATCTTCATCAGCAGTATGAGACACTGAGGAAGTGGACCTAGTGGAAGAAATTTTTCCATTTAAAGTTGGTTCAAGCTGGGTGTGGTAGTACATACATGTAACCCCAGAACTCT